CCAAAATAAACAGTAACAGTACATTTGGACCAGACCAAAAGTAAACCCTCAATTTTTTTTATTATTTTGATATTATTTATTAACTCTTCTCTTAAAACTGTATTTCCTAACTTGAAGGCCTAAAAGCTCTCACCTAATTATCACCAATAATATGGTCATTTGGATTGTCTAGTGTTACTATACTATTCACTGTTCACAGTGGGACATTTTTACTTCGGGTTGTTGTTACAATACCTGGTTGTGATTACATTTCAGTTCCTTTAATCCCCCTGAGGTTTAATTTAATGAGGGATACTGACACTCGTATCTCCCTCACACACATTCACACACTTGCAGGCTTATGCAAATACACACATAACACACATTATCTCTCATGGCTCTACACATTGCTCAGCGCTTTGCTTACATAGCCAAGCAGATTTTCGAAACAGTATTTTACTCCCCTGAACGACCACTCATAAAATCTGAACAAAAAATGTATTGGACTTATTGTATCACTTCCCTCACATCAAGGTTTGGACGCTGAAAATGGTCTGAGGTGACGACTCGATGCCAGCGCTGTGAGGCAGACTTGTCTTCCGTCACACAGCAGAAAGACCCTCTCCGGACTCTCCTTTTCTATTCTTGCAGAAACAAAAAACTTGCCAAAATGTAGCAATCAGCAAAACACTGGTCACTGCTTTCCTTAAAATCACAGGTTGTCTCTTACAGTAACAGGAGAAGAAAATATTTTGAGTGTCTTCTTCTCTTACAGCAGTGGATTACCCCAAAGAGGGAAAAGATATCCAGATATTTTTTATTTTTTGGGGGACAAACTGTAAGAAGCTTGGAGACCCACTAGCATTTGAGAGTAGAGGACCGAAAACGGACAAAGACATTGTTGCAGTTTCAAGTTTTCTGTTTTACTTTCTAACCATCACTATGCTGATGATTTAACAATGGTTTTAAAAGTAACACAGCAGCTGCAGATTAATGTATTTTTTGTAGTAACTCTACTCTTATATGTTTCAAATATCAGTGATAGCTGCAGATCACTGCGCTACTTGTTTGCGTTGATGGTTCTGAAATAAAGTTTTGAAGTTTGAAGCTGGAGTGACTCTGATCATATAAGAAGCCATCAAACAAATTAAATTGTTTTTGATGAAAATCTACTCTGATTCTTCCAGAAGGATTTCTGACACTTGTACTTACTTAATGATCAGCTTGAAAAAACAAATCAAATTTAGTCCAGCTATGAAGTGCAACATCATTATGGCAGTCCCTTCTGACAACTGATAGGTTGGATTCATACTTAAAGACATATTTTAAAACACATAATACTCTCATTTGAATATTCTGAAAGATATTTTGTCTGATGTTGTATTTCGACCAAAAAGTAAACTACTAGACCTAATAACATTCTTATAATTAGGCTACAGGTACTCCTCCACCACTGACAAATCCCTAAATATCTATAAATCTATAACTATCAAATAATTAAAAAATTTTATGTTTAACTACTAGACACACTGTATCTCCAACATCACTGTATAATCAATTCTCCAATGTGCCCTGGGGGTGTAAGTTGAATATTGGATCACGATTGGCTTCCAGACTAGTTGCAATGGCACAAAATCATGCTTTGTTAAACTCTTGATTTAAGGTGAGCACAAAGAAACTTTACCCCTTCAGTAAATTAATGTGAAAGCAAACCCTCTGGTGTCAAGCTCTGCACATACATCATCCTGTATAGTGAAGGTCAAACATGTAAGGGAGATAACAATATGCAAAACATGTATTTGATTTTAAGATATCTACAAAGCCTGTACAACTAGACAACTTTCTTATTACATTTTGACTAGTCTATATTCAGTAGCCTATATTCTGACTTGTATGGATGAACCATCCATCCATAGTCAACCAGACAATCCCAGCTTACATCGGGCGAAAGGCAGGGTACACCCTGGACATGTCACCAGTCCATCGCAGGGCCACACATAGACAAACAACCACTCACACCTAAGGACAATTTTAGAGACACCAATTAACCTAGCCTGCATGTCTTTGGATGGTGGGAGGAAGCCTGGGAGAGAACCCACGCAGACACGGGGAGAACATGCAAACTCCACATAGAAAGACCTCGAACGACCAAGGTTCAAACCCATGACCTTCTTGCTGTGAGGCGACAGTGCTACCCACTGCACCGCCATGCCGGCCTGTATGGATGAACCATTTATTCTAATTTAAGATAGCCTATATCTGCAAATAAATGTTGAGTAGCCTCTAAAATGTAAATTATAGATATCCTATATTCATGTCCATGCCCTGTTACTACTGGTGCCCATGGTGAGTCACTGCTGATATGTCTTTATGAAACCGCACCCCCCTCTCTCAGGTGTCACGGTGTATCAACAAACACTGCTGCACGCTTGGCTGCACGTGACACAATATGAGCTGTGCCCACAATACAACGGGACAACGGGACAGCGGGCAAGGCACGCGCCCGCTCTTCACTGACTGTATCCTTTAGTCACTGCTCGGCGACGTGTTCCGGTCTCTTTCACTAAAACCTTGAAGAGATACTTATCCAGTGTAATGGCGTCATCATGTCGGCTTTTAAAGGCTACTGGTTATACACATTAGCCTACCCATGGCGTTTAGGGGGCGTATCAACAGCACGTGCATCCACAAAAATAACCGTCTAGCAACAGCAGAGTCGTTTTTAAATTCTAAACCTTCCTTTCTGATCGATATTACACCAAAATTCATCCGCCAAGTGCTGGTTCTTTAACAGTAGCAAAAGAAAGTAGGCTACTTGGCATGTGATGCTAAGCAACAGCCTGTTGTGATAAAATAAATCGACACACTGCCAGGAGCGTCTGTCCAATTAAAGATTTCACAAACGGTAAGTCAAAGCCCCAGGTCCACTTTAAGCATCACTTCACGTGGCTGAGGGAGCACGCGCGCATCCCGTGAAGGGATCACAACATCCCTGCATCAGTGCGGGTGTCCGTCCGCACTTCAGCATCAGCCCCGTGCTGCAAGCTGTCCCAGCTCCGGAGCACTGCGGTACCCACGTCTTGTGATAAAATAATAACAAAGAAACTAGGGATTTTAAAAATAACAGACTCGGTGAAGGTTCAATTTGATTTTATAAACAGCGTTCTCGTTCTGTCTCGAGCAAAGTTTCACACGAGTCCCGCAGTACTGAGACCGAGTAGACTTACCGTCAATCGCCATGATGCTCCGTCCCGGACTGTGTGTGTGTGTGTGTGTGTGTGTGGAGGGGGGGTGATGGAGGCATTCATGTGCCAGTGGACTGTGTGTGTGTTTGTGTGTGTGACAGAGGTTGTGTAAGCTTTGTTCTTTCAATCAAAGGAGAAATATAAGATATCAATGTTAAAACACACGATATTTAAGATAAGATGAATCTTTATTGATTCACCGAGGAGGAATACAACTAGCTGCACATATACAGAAATAAATACAGATAAATAACTTGGAGAAAGTAAAAGGTATTTAACCTGAAATATGAAAAGAGGTAAGAAACAGAAATTGTTGAGAGCAATTAAAGACAAACTGAAAAGACAAAAGGGACAGTGGTGTGATTAGTAGCAGCAAACATTTAATTAAATAGCTATCACAAGTGCACAATGGAGCATGGCAACATGGCCAGATGACCTGAAGATACTCAACAAAATTATAAAGGCAACATTTTTGTTTTTGCCTCCATTCATCATGAGCTGAACTCAAAGATCTCGAGTGGCCTTTGTTGCGTTTATAATTTTGCTCAGTGTAAAACACATCTATATTCATCATGAATCATACATTATTAATTTATAGTTCTTATTTAAATGTCATACCAAATATTTGATCCATACTACATGGGATTACAAGACAATGCTTTATGTCAAAAATCAATCACAGGAAATCATTAGGTTACATATAATGTATATAAAACTAAAAAACAAACATCCATCATAACATTTTACATACATCTAAATAATTTCAGGTAAAGGGTTTATGTAAGAAATTTGAATTAAACTAGGCACTGAATAGAAGAAAAAAAGAAAAGAAATCCTACAAGACTAAAGTTTATCCTGATGAAGGGCTCTTTTACCCTCATCTTGCAAGCTTCCTCATAGTAACTGCTAACTACTATTTCCAACGTGAATAGCAAGATTTATAAATTACTGTTAAGTTTAGTAATTTTCTTATTTGAAGAGAAAGAAATAGACAAATAACTAAGTAACAGCAATAGGGCAGCTCTGCAGTTACAGTGCAATTAAAATATATATATATATATATTATTGATTTAAAATAGCAAGAGATATGTTTCAACTACTTCGCTGCAGAGATTTGCTCCCATTCAGCCACAGGAGCATCGTTTGTCACTGAGGTTGGGCGATAAGTCTAAAATTGTTGGAGTTCAAGTTGTTCCACACCAAACTGGAAAAACAAATTCTTTATGGCTCTCATCTTACTTATCTTATCATGTTGAAACAGGACTTTACCCAAATTGTTGCCACATAGTTGGCTGCACTCTATTGTCAAAAATACGACTGTATGCCAGGTATCCACATTCTTATGGCCACACTCACTCTCTCTAACCCAACAAAGTGCAAGCAAGTGATGCTCAGACGTGTTTGCGTCACAGCTGGATGACGCGCCCACCAGGCTTTCTGTTAGTACGCTTCCGGTGTTGCAGCAAATTCTGTGACCCCTCAGATTCTGAGACTAAAACCAAACCAGGATCTTTTTTCCCTAAACCTAACCGAGTAGTTTTGGTGCATAACCCTAACTAATTAGTTTTAGCGCCTAAACCAAACCAAACTGCGACCATTTCACACCGTTTACCACGTGGTTAAGAAACGCCCTGAGAGCTTAACTTCCTATTTGGGTCACAGAATCTGTCGAGTCGAATATTTTGGTGTAACACCAGTTAGTTTGCTTCTGGCTGCTGCTGCCTTATCTTTCTAAGGGATTTGTCAACTGTATAGGACAGGCGAAAGTTTATAAAAATGAGTGAAATGAAGCCGAACGATTCAGCTGCAACTGAAGACAGCAGAGAGGAAAAAGACTGGGCGGCGGCCAAAGCTGTTTTTGACAACCTTAAAACAAACAAACCGAGACCCGTAAGTTATTTAACTTAGCTGAAATTGTTCATCACCATAAGCTTGTGTGTTAGCTGCACATGCTTTCTTGCACAGTATTTGTAGTGATAAACAACCCCAGTATTGCGTGCACATAATGTTGTTTCCCCCCACCTTTCCATCCACTGACAGCCCAAACCACAGTATGCTGTCACTATCGCCGTCTCCTCTCGCACCCTCTTCGACATGGTGGCAGAGAGGAAGATCTTTGTTGAAAAGGGAGTAGAGAGCTACGTATCTTATCAGGTTGAACATGAAAGCGAGCCTCTGAAACCAGGAGCTGCTTTCCCCTTCGTCAAGGTAGGCATGAGCCTTCTGCACGTCTTTGCAGGGTGTGGTCCCCCGAAAGGTTTTATTCAGCTGAAAGGCACGTTGTCCACGCCAGGAAAAAACTTGGTTTACAAAAACGTACAGTGATAATGGACCGCATGACTCCTAGTTTCAAGTCAACAGTCTATTTTCTGTGCTGAGCAATGTTATATCTCAGGCCACATCTCAGTAAGTCATGCAGACCTAAAGGCAGGTATTTGGCTTTTGGCACTGTCCACTCTAATCATAAAGCTGTTCTTCTTTTAGTAGACACAATAGGATGATGATTATTTTTAATGTTTCTTAACTGTCTATCAGCACACTGTTCATTCATTCTTCAAATGTTAGCTATCAGGAAGTCATGTTGTCCACCTCTGATATAATGTGAGTTCCTCACTGACTTATAACTTCCTCTAACTAACTAACTAATCCAGACCCCGCTGACAGATATGTACAGTGCCAGGCCAAAATAAGTGAAATCCCTATCTAAGGTCAGATGTTAAAGCTCAAGTTCAAAACGGCTTTACTGCTTGGACTTGGTTGAAGATACTGGAAGACGTTTCGTCCCTCATCCAAAGGACTTCTTCAGTTCTGACTGACTGGCAGGGAAACTCAGCTATTTAACCTCAGTGGGGTCGTTGGCCCGGGTCATCGATACCGCTGGTTCGTCCACAGCAACAAGGAACACTAACGAACCAGTGCCAGTCAGTCAGAACTGAAGAAGTCCTTTGGATGAGGGACGAAACGTCTTCCAGTATCTTCAACCAAGTCCAGTTGCCCTTGATTTTAACCTTCGTTGGGTTACTGTAAAGTGGTCTTGTAATCCTTTGGCTGCTATGCAACTGATCAATGTTGAGGGATACAGACCTGCTACCACAGACCTGGAAAAAGACACTGCAGGTTTTACGGCATTGTAAACCTGCCTGGGTGTCGGGTGTAAAGTGCTGAATGACTCACTGGTGCATGTTAAATATTTCCATTGCCCCATCGCTCCTTTTCTCCTCGACAAGCAGTTTCTTAACAGCAGAAATGTCAAGATTTTATCTTTGTGAAGCCCACAAAGAAAAGTGTTTGCTTAATTCGGTATTAGAGGTTTTGAAAATATTAAGTCTGTTCTTAAATGCATATGTGCATTTTCAAAATTTTGTTTTGTCACCTCATGTTGAATGCTCTGACAAAATATCCTGATTTCTGATGTCTTGACACAGGCGCTGATGACTGTCAATTCTCGACTGAGGATGCTGTACCCAGACAGCGAGGAGCTTTTTGACATCGTCTTAATGACCAACAACCATGCCCAAGTTGGGGTGCGCCTCATAAACAGCATTAATCACTACGGTACGGTGCGTCCCAAACCAAAACACTGTTGAGTGTTTAGCACGGTGGCACAATCAAGAACAGAGCTCAGTCTTGTAATTTCACACTAGAAATAAAGAAGAGCTGTGATAGTGTAATTAGAATGGGATTTCTATATTCACACATCTCCAACTTGCTTTTATACTTTCAGATTTGACCATAGAGAGATTCTGTATGACAGGAGGGAAAAGTCCTATAGGCTACCTAAAGGCCTACATGACAAACCTTTACCTCTCCAAGGACTCGAAGAAAGTCACAGAGGCCATCGAGGAAGGTAAGTCGGATTTTTTTGAAAAGTTCTTTGTATAAGAAACACATCAGTTACTTTCCGCATCCCCAAGGCATATTTGACTGATATTTACACACTGTGCTGCGAGAAGGAGCTGACTGACTGTCATCCCAGCACACGCAACAAACACATATGAAGAGCTGATGATAAAACAGGAAGGTCAAGATGCCTGGTATCAAATTTCAGAATGGATAAAACATAGTGGTGGATGCACACTGTCCATCAGAGCATATTTTTAACCAACCCTCCTCTCCCGTTTCTTCAGGCATTGCTGCAGCCACAATGTTTATGCCGCAAACGGACACTCAGCTGAGCGACACTCAGCTGAGAGTGGCGTTTGATGGCGACGCCGTCCTCTTCTCAGACGAGTCAGAGGTCATTGTGAAGCAACACGGCCTGGACACTTTCTTTAAGCACGAGAAGGAGTTTGAGAACAAACCTCTCGCTCAGGTTGGTTGTTTCTATGGATGTATGTGTTTTATATTCTTTATTTTGTGTTATCTATATCATTGATCCAAAAGCAATTGCAATATTTCAGTCATTTTTCAGTTGGTTGAAAGTGCTCCACCAAATGTGGAGATCAATCAGGTGAAAAGAAACAATTAACCCAGATGAGTTAAAGATTTGATTAGGAGACAGATTTCTGCTGGTTCAGTCAATTTGATCTGCTTTGACTTTTTAAATTAACTTTATTCTTTGGCTCTTTTAGGGTCCATTAAAGTGTTTCCTGGAGGCTCTGGGTAAGCTCCAGAGAAAATTCTACGCCAAGAACGAGCGATTGAACTGTCCTATCCGAACCTTCCTGGTCACGGCCCGCAGTGCAGCCAGCTCCGGGGCTCGCGTCCTGAAGACTCTCCGCAGCTGGGGCCTGGAGATCGACGAGGCTCTCTTCTTAGCTGGGGCTCCCAAAGGGCCCCTGCTGCAGAAAATAAAACCGCACATCTTCTTTGACGACCAGATGTTCCACATCGAGGGGGCCAACGAAATGGGAACCATATCTGCACACGTCCCCTATGGGATCGGACAGAAGTACGACAAGGGGAAACTCATTGAGCAGCCGGCAAAAAAGTAATAACCTAAAAATGGTTGAAATATTAAATAAGCACTATTTTGTCAGAGATTTGCTTCAAATAAATATAATAATAATACTGGATTCAGGAAAAATGTATCTATCAAAAAATAACAGCAATCTTTTTAGTGGATTAAAGTAATTAAATGGTAATGCAGTCTAAAAAGATTCCTAGTTTTTGGGGTTTTATAAAATACTGTCTACTATTTTCTTTAGCATGGGGTATTATTGATGAGGAAGGGGATGTATTTTCAAAGCAAGAGTTACAGTAGGTGCCTTACACTATTTAACTATTTAAAATAGAAACACCAGATTCATAACCTATCGGTGCCTTTTAACCATTCGAAGTGTTTACCTGTTTACCTTTCAGTGTAAACTCATTTACATAGGAGTTTATCTAATTTTCTTTTCACTTTTATACAATAAACTTGCGTTTATCTTATCGTGGTTTTTGGCTATTGGTCCTTGGCATTCTGTATAACCAGGGTGGGAGAATGCCTTCCTTTGTTATTGTCTTTGCTGTTGACGCACACAAACTATGAAAAACTCACTGCTTTATATTTTTCCCCAAAACCTTTGTACTCATGTTCTGTGAGTTTAAGCTTTTACATTATATCTGGAGATCAGGCAGCCCACTGTAACTACACTTTTCTATCATGTTATCATGTTTTTATATAGGACTCACTATATATTCTGTATATGTTTGCAGATTGCTCTTGATGTATTTCATATTGCAAACATATGTAAATGTATCCTCTTCAGGCAGGTACAGTTAATGTGCTAACTGTACACTCATGCGTTTGTAAATGTTCATATCATGTCTGGTAATGTTCCTCAGTGCCAGATCAAGACATATTTTGCATTGATTGTACTCCTGTTGTGGTAGCAATAAAATTATTTTTGCACCTTTTCACTTTACTCTGATTAGTATCTAACCTGTGTCTTTAACCCTTTAAGCTTTGGTACTGAGTGTATTGAGTACAGAGGGAGTAGTTGGATGAAGAGTGAAAGAACTCCAGTGGTGGAAATACTCAAGTATCATGGGTCATTCATGCTACTTTTCACTTCTACTCCACTGCATTTGACGGGTAAAACTAAAACAATCTCCCTATCTACATTCACGTTACACTAAAGAACAATATTATGATGAGCTTATAAACATGTTAGTCATGTTAATAACAATTTCCTCCCAAACTCGTGGCCTAATTATTAAAAATTTTTGTCACAGACCTTTGTTTTTTTCTATCTGGTCTATCCCGTTAATCATATCACAACCCCCAGATTTTAGCTTTTGGCCTTTTGAAGCGACCAGACCTCTAGCTTTAGAATAACTAGATTAAATTACCAAACTCAAAATCATTAAAAGGTACATCTATTGTAAAATGCCACATGGAAATTGATGCATCACTATTATAATCTAATAATTTCATGTAATAATATCAGTCACAGGGAGCATTTTTCGTAGACAGTTAATTTTACTTTTTATACATTTTGCTGGTGGTAGTTATGTACTTTTAATAAAGTTGAATACTTGTGTAAGATGTCTGTGAAGATTCTCAGTCAGCCAGGTCTTAGTAACCTTTTATCAGATGCCCTTGATTTTAACCCACCTACTACTTTTAATTAAGTCGTATTTTGTATGAGGGATTTTTATTTGAAGCATTTCTACATAAGAAAATTATTTGAGCATTTTTTCCACCACTTGTCTTTGTACGTCTCAGCAGTAGATGGTGCTGTTAAGCTGTAATTGTCCACCTTGATATTTAACACTGATGCAGCCTCGCGTTTGGCAAGGAGCCTCTTCCTTGTGAAAGTAAAGTAGTTGTGGTCAACCTTCAGCCCTGTATATTTGGGCAGATCTTTCCTGTCATTAAACTCAGTGTCTCAGTGTCTGTCCAACGTCAGCTGATGGAGATCCACTCTCAGTTAACATGTACATGATGAGTGAAGCCACAAGAGGGAGTTCCCGTTTAACTAGACTGGGATTTTACCATGGATGTAGCTATTATTAGAATTTACAGAGAGGAGGAACAACCAAAGAAACCCCTACCTTTATATACCTTTTCTAAAGTATATAGTATACAGAAGAATTTTAAGGGGGAAGGCAAGTCACCAGAAAACATAATATAGACTTAAAAGTGGAATTGAAATAAATAATACAAAAAGCTCAATACAATAAGAAACCCCCCAAAATACATTTTTTATCTTACAATGCTTTGAGGTATATTTCATATTTTTTATTGTTATAATTTTTTTTGTAACTGAGCTCCTAGTCATACCATTTTTTCATATACCTGGTAATATCCCTGCTAAGCACAGCAAGAACAACAAAATGCAAATCTCTCTGCCTTCAGTGAACTAACATTAGGCCTAATTGGAAGTTAATGAGATATCCTGCAGTTCCAGTTATATTAAGAAATATCAGAGATTTCACCTTCCTGGTCTAAAATAACACCTCATAACGTTATTCTTAAGGAAGAAGTTATAACAGACTGTCAGTTGTGGAGTAAGTAGCGTTACTCAGATTCTAAAAGTAAGAATACCACACTCTACTCCATTACATTAAGTCTTCCATTAAAAATGTTACTTAAGAGTTCTTCAACGATTTAATATTGTACTTCTATAACACTGTCAGACTCACGATGGACAGTGGATCAAAATTGATGCTACAGAACCAGAGATATCTTCTTCCGTGTCAAAACCAGGCACCTACCTTACCCAAAATGCAACTCCACCTCCAACGGTTGGCACTGAGATTCAGGTGTGTGCTAGTAGCGGCTGCTGTAGCTTCAACCTGAAGCTGCTAACCTGAAGCAGAGACAGGGAGGCTACAGATGTCTGGCAAGCTTTCACTTGTTTCTAATGCCACACCTCCAGAATTTGTTTCATTTTCAAACTTGTAGTCTTCAGACCAAGCCCATGCTGACTCAAGTGACATCATTTGAGGCAATTTATCATTGTCTCGTGCAGGTTGGTCCCTGAAGCTCCAGAAGGCTTTATCCAACTTTTGTCACAGTGCCTGTTAACATACTTTGATGTATGAAATCGGTAGGTCGAGTAGTTGCTTTAATAAATATTTGCAAAAATGTAGTTACAGCATCAAAAGGAAATACACTCATCAATACAAAAAGGTGTTATAAATATCCTGTTATTGGAATGTTATTATTGTTGCAGTAATTGTAAGTAGCATTTGTAGTTAGTTGAGGTGGAGCTAATTTTAACAATTCTATATAGCTACAGTTTGGTAGTGTAATCAGTGACAATGTATTAGACTATATTTGTCATACATCGTATTAATCTGCAGAGTAACTATAGCTGTCATGAACATAACTGTGTCAAAAGCAGAACATTTCTCGCTGACATTTAGTGGAGTATTAATAATTGAAATATCCAATTGAAAGACCAATTGAAAGTACATCAAATTTGTATTTAATTACAGTATTTAAAAACTCCATTCCACCACTGTATACTGAGTTGAGAATACAGGAGGGGCAGAATATTAGTGATTGTCTTGCTTTCTTGGTTTTATTTCACTTGATGCAGTTTTTGAATTTAGCAACAGGCATTTTTACCAATTTCGTCACTATGTAATGGCAATGAATATTGTTTCCTGTAAGTAGCTTGTGGTGCTAAAAGGCTCAACAGGGGGGCAGGAATTATTTTAATTTTACAGTATTTTTCTACAGTTTGGTTATTCAACTTGTCGGCAGAGCATCTTTGCAGCAAGGCATGGTTTTGTCAAGCAGCAGAGTGTGTGTGTGTGTGTGTGTGTGTGTGTGTGTGTGTGTGTGTGTGTGTGTGTGTGTGTGTGTGTGTGTGTGTGTGTGTGTGTGTGTGTGTGTGTGCGCTCGCATCCCTGAGAGCTGGGACCAACTGGCTGTTGCCATGGATACTCAGTGCTGACACCACAAGAACTGTGTAGGCTTGTTGAAGATATAATTAATAACAAAGGATTAGAGGCAAAGGTAGCATGGGGCTCAGTATGAGAAACCTCATCACACAGTTACTATAATTGGCAACCTTTCTTTGTGTGTGTGTGTGTGTGTGTGTGTGTGTGTGTGTGTGTGTGTGTGTGTGTGTGTGTGTGTGTGTGTGTGTGTGTGTGTATGGAAGCCACAAGAAAAGTTACCAAAATATATTAATAAAATAAACAGTACTCTCATACTCTCCTGCTGCATTTATCTTCTTGACAAGCAATTTGCTCTTAATATGTTTTCTTGGTTAGTGGCCAGAGACTTGTAGGTAGATGTTTTCTGAAAGTAATTTATTTGGACCAACATTACCTTGGTGGGTGTCTTGATGCCTACATACTGGATATCTTGGGGACATTTATTAAACATAATGATATAATTGATATCTATTTAATAAATGGTGGATTTTCACAGGGATGTACAGAAGCTTTGTCTATTGTTTACATGAGTCAGGCTAAAGTCAAGTAGTTTTTAGCCTTGTCTTTATGCTAGTGGCTTTTGGATGGACTGCCACGAAATTTGGTGCAGACATATCCTACATGTCCCCTTCAGGATGAAATTGTAATATGTTTGGTGAACCCATAGCTGAACCCTTAACTTTCCAACTAGCGCCAACACCTGGCCAAAGTTGTAATTTTACCAATACTTTGGTTTACAGCAAAATTCCCACAAACCTAATGACATTCCCACTGTGTTTAGTCCTAATCAGTAAATTTGACTGTATGACTGATATCTCTTGTTAGTATGCTGGTTAAAGCTGTCATTCAACAGCAGGAGGCTACTCTTACCTACTACAGAATATGGTTACATTTAAAAATAGGGAATATGTGTTATTGGTTATTGGACTAGTACAGTGCTTGAAGACAAAAAGGCATGTAGCAACATTTTTGCATTGCCTGAAATAATGGTTATGAATAATAATAATAATAATCTTTATTTATAGAGCACTTCTTAAAATCTATCTTACAAAGTGCTTCACAAGGGCAGAAAAATAAAACACAGTTGTAAAACCATCAGGTTTTAAATGAAAACAGATAAAAACAAGAAAAACAGGAAATTTAAGGAATCAAATATAGGAAATTTAAAATTAAATATAACCTGGAAAGGCTCTCTGATAAAAGTATGTTTTAAGAATGGACTTAAAGGAGTTCACTGACTCAGCCGACATGATTTACTCAGGCAGGCTGTCCCAGAGCCTCGGGGCTCTGACTGCAAACTCTGCTCTGTCCCCTTTAATTTTCAATAGACCTGTGCCCAAGGATCTCAAAGTACCTGTTGGTGCGTACTGTACTAAAAGGTCAGAGATATAGCACAGAAAGAAGCCATTAAGTAAATTTTAAAAATCTGTTCTAATACACACTGGGAGCCAGTTCAAAAAGGCTAAAACAAGAGTGATGTGATCACGTTTCTTTGTTCTGGTTAAAATCCTGGCAGCTGATTTCTCTACAGTCTGGAGTCGAAGAATAGATTTTTGGGTCAAGCAAGTAAAACGGCTGTTGCAGTAATCCAGGCGTGATGAGATGAACTGGTAGAGGTGATAATAATATTTGACATATAGTAGTCCAAAAGTAAACAAAAGCAAACAGAATATTTACACTCAGTTGCCACCAAACATTAGCTAGAACTAATGCAGTCTAATAACGGGCCATAATGTTTTGTGGAGATAGGTTGATTCAACTTTATGATAATTTTGGAAGGTGCATTTTATGCTGGTGCTGTTGAATTATTTTGTCCACCCAATTTAGGCAAAATGACAGAAACACCTCCCAGAAACTGCAGAGAAGCTACAACCAGGATATGTTCTTCTGTTTCTGTCGTTTGAAGTTGGGGCTTCTGCAGGTGGCGCTCATGTGATCATCTCTTCAACCATGAAGTCTGTCAACACTCGTGATAACAACTCGCTGAATCTGCTGCACGATGCTACAGTCACCATTTGCTGTGTGACTG